TGGTGAAAGACCCAGTCCACGGCAGACCACGGTGTTCACAAACCTGAATCGATCTGTCAGATGAAGAAAAAAGCTGAATCATTAAAAGTAATTGCCCAAGGGAAAATGCTTTCTGAAAATAAATTACATTTGGCTTATTTGCAAATATTTTCATATAACAGCCACAAATAACTGAATTATTTTGTAAATCCAGACGGTGTATGTCCCTCCCCCTCCAAAGTGGCCGCTGTGCCGCCTTCCGGGGGTTCCTCTCCCTCTGGGGGCTCCTCTCTTTCTGAGGCCTCCCTGCCTCTGAGCAGCTGCAGGAGCTGCAGAGCTGGCCTCAACCCCATTCATCTAAGAAGCTTTCTTTCTGCCTGCTCCCACCACCCCTAAGGCCTGTCGCCTCCCCACTGTACTGGGCCAGCCGGAGGCCACTGTGGCTGGGAGCCTCCCTGGAGCACCCCTCCACTGCAGAGATTCCCACAGCTGTCTCAGGTCCTATGGGTGCCTGCACCTCCCCCAGCCCCCTGTGGGAATGGGAATGACACCCAGAGTCTGCGGAGGCCTGCCCAGGAGGGCCCCTCCTGCCTTTTTAAGAGTAACTCAGGTTATTTTTTCCTTAAGTGCGTGACTTTGCGTTCTCCCACATTGAAGCTCATCTGCCACTGTGCAGCCACCCACACACGCTGCTGCTGGAAGGAGCCGCTCCGTGCGGAATTTCCTCCAAGCTCCTGTAGAGCCCACCCCCCTCTCCCTGCCTGGCCCATCCCCACCGTTTCTCAAGGCTCCTCGGGGAACAGAAGCCTTCAGGACTCTCTAGGCTCCAGGCGGCCACTTCCTTGGTGCCTGTCACCTGCTGAAGGTTATGACACTGCATTCAACAAGCATTCAGGGAAGGTTCTTCAGGAGCCTCCGGGAGCTGCAGTGAACCAGACCATGTTGCCCGCATGCCAGGTGCACACCACCTGTCCTGGCATCAGCACCACATCATTCACGCTGTCATGTGGGCACAACACAGGCCAGACCCTGTTTGTCAAGGCTTTGGGTCCACTGCCTCCCTTACCCTGAAAATAATTGCTTTATAGGTGGGAAATATAGGCTTGGAGAACGTGCTTCTGTGACCAAGGATGGAGCTGACACCAGCTGTTGGCTGCAAGCACTGGGGAGCCCCCGTGGCATCTAGATCCTGCCCTATTCCAGCTGCAAGGCAGGACCCAGGTTCTGTCCCTAGGAGGCATTTGCAGGGGTTTTATAAGCCCAGGTGGTGAGCAGCATGAAAACGACAATCTACCTCCAGGCCTCTGGGTGCTGACATCTGCCTGCTCGCCACCCCTTCATGGTCCCTCAAGACCCCAAACTCAGCCTTTCCCCCAAACTCCACATCTTTCCCTTCTCTGCTAGTGGCTCCACTCTCCACCCACCCATCTTCAATTTGTCTCACATGCCCTAAACACGCCTGTCCCCAACGTCTTCAATTCAGTGCTTACTAACGAGTCTTTTTCATTTTCTTCATTCAGCACCCATCAAACAGGGCAAGGACACCAGAGGCCGGGACTCTAGATGCTGGGACTCTAGGTGCTGGGATGCCAGGTTCTGGGACTCTAGGTGCTGGGACTCCTCTAGGTGCTGGGACTCTAGATGCTGGGATGCCAGGTGCTGGGACTCTAGGTGCTGGGACGCCAGGTACTAGGATGCCAGGTGCTGGGACAACCAGGTGTTGGGATGCCAGGTGTTGGGACGCCAGGAGCTGGAACACCGGGGGCTGGGATGCCAGGTGCTGGGACTCTAGGTGCTGGGATACCAGGTGCTGGGACCCTAGGTGCTGGGACACCAGGTGCCTGGACTTTAGGTGCTGGTACTCTAGGTGCTGGGATGCCAAGTGTTGGGGTACCAGGTGTTGGGATGCCAAGTGCTGGGATGCCAGGTGTTGGGACGCCAGGTGCTGGGATGCTCAGGTGGTTGGATGTCAGGTTCTAGGATGCCAGGTGCTGGGACACCAGTTTCTAGGATGCCAGGTGCTGGGATGCCAGGTGCTTAAGTGCCAGGTGCTGGGATGCCAGGTTCTTGGACACCAGGTTCTAGAATGCCAGGTGCTAGTTTGCCAGGTGCTAGGATGCCAGGTGCTAGGATGCCAGGTGCTGGGACGCCAGGTTCTAGGATGCAAGGTGCGGGGATGCCAGGTTCTAGAATGCCAGGTGCTAGGATGCCAGGTGCTGGGATGCCAGGT